CGCAAAACTGATGCATGACGAACGGAGTTATTAGTCCTCAGTGCTGGGTTTATAAGAGGACAGTTACTAACAGGGTGGGGAGAGGAAGAGGAAAAAAAAGATGTGAAAGAGAAAGAAGGGAGGCGTCAGCAGTTGCCCGTTTTCGCTTATCCGCCCTACTGTATGCAGCAAGTAAGGCGATCCGGTTGATGGTACCACTCGACGGCCGATGTGGCATGTTAGTTTTAAGAGTCATGGTATTACATGGGCTGAGATACTGTTAGGGCGCCAACATCCAGACAGGAGACGGTTAGGGTCCTCAGCCAAAGCCGTTGGCTCAAAAGCCTAGACGCAAGATAGCGGTGTTTGGCGGGGAGTGCGAACGCACTACCATTTTCTCGGAACCAGGCGCCACATGTTCCAACTCCCAACCTGGAGGGCCAGGAGACTGTGTTTGCCAGCCTAGCCATTGACCAACCTGGTATGAGAGACTCTGAGGGTCGCGGGGACACCCAGTATAGCCCAATGGGTCGCTGAGGTGCGCAAACAGTCGCACCACGGTAGTGTCCAGTGTCTTCGTGCCGGCAAACTGACAGTATCTCAGCCCACCTACTTCCTTTGGGTGGCATGGCAGATAGGCCCTTAAAGGGTAGTACAACTGGTCGTTTATTATCATTTTTTACTAAAACATGAAGACTAGTAATTTTTCGAAGTCTGACCATCCAAGTGAGTAATAATCAATCACTGAACTAAATCAATATAGATGACTGACCAGTGGCTTTCAGCACGCGTACGCGCGTCACTCTTAGGTTTCGTAACGACCGTAAGTGACATTAATGATCACAACAATCACCATGCTATGCCAACATCTTATAATAGGAGTTGAGCAAGATATTTGGATACCTCGAGCATTCACTCCACCTAAAATGAAGATTTACTTGCCTACTCAAACGCTGTTTAAAACAGACGGGAAGACTTTACCCTAGCGCAGAAAGCTCTGCTACAGCTCTTGCTCCCAGCTTGTCGAAGAGACATTCTAGTATTCATCGAAGTAGGAGGTACTGTCATGTCAATCCTGTTGGTGAACATGAGTCCACTGTGGTCCTATCTTTTCTGACCATCTGGTCAGCACTTAAGTGCCATTGAGTGGCGTGTTTTCGCTTACGAGCTTAGCGTTGGACAGCCGGTGTCATCTGAATTATGCCTACGTTTTACTTTTCAGCCAATCGCCTTAAGAAGCTATGGACACTATCTTGCTCAGCGATCTTGAAAGATTTTACATCATCCAAGGTGCAGAGGTAATTATGACATATATCAAATATCCTATATATTTTCTAGCTGGGTTGCCGCACAGACGGGCGTGCATCAAATGAATATAGACCTTTGGAAATCGAGACGAGTATACTCAGTCATGCTAGTGGTTCAGCTAGCGTACGCATCGTACAGTTTACAAGTTTTCTCGTCGTATATCCTTTTATTCCTCAGGGAGAAACACATGTATTGGGTTGTGTCAAAATGGAAGTTGGAAAGCCCTTGTCAAACAGACCGGACGAAGGAAGAATCGAAATCAATGTTGAATGGTAATCCGCCACGCATTGGAAACCACGCCATTCCGTTTCCACGCTTAATTTTCCATCTTGATTGACCTCACGTGCTTTAGAACTGGTGCATACGAAACCAGTTAGCTAAATTTTGCTTCATGATGTCCGTGACTTGTGACCAACTGGTATCGGTTATTTTGTTGCCAGGTTAGACTCGATCATATTTGTATCTGCGCCATTCTCTTTCGGGCGGTCGTCCTTCCGTCTCGATTGGTGCATATCGAACGAGGTGTACTATACCCTTTCCTTCCTACTGGGCCGTATTGAGAATGAATATCCGCGACAGAACCGAACCTTGAACTCTGGCCATCTGATGCAGACCTAGTGATACGGTTTGTGCTGGCGGGTGCTCACCGATGTCTGATTTCTCTAATGACCGAGTGATTATGTTGCTATTGGTCTCAGGGCAGGATGAAAACCATTCGAGCGCGCGCCATGTGGATACAAATTCAGTAAATCCTTGTCCGCAGCTGGTAGCTAAAGGAGCGCTGTTCTAGATACAGGTGGTTTTATTAAAGTTTCTTTGCGGAATATCTGGCTGTATCTCGGATTAAAGTTGAAGTCCTCTTGTAAATTGTCGCATCTGCACCCTGAATACATTGCGCTGCGGTTCACCACGTCAACTGAAGATAAGAACTAGCCCAGGCTACAGCGGTTCTGTTATGCGATATCGCGGGCCAGCATAGGCCAGTCCATGTAGATCTGGCGATAGCCATTCAGTGAAGCCGAATTGTTTTTTGTAGGTGATTCATGACTATAGGAAACTCGGACTCTAATATTGACGTCAAGCATGACGCGTTTCTGATCCAGAGGTCAGCTCTCTTTCATTTTATGCTCGGTGTACCTTTTGCAGTGCCTAGTATGTTGCACACGACAGCAGGGAAATTAGCTGGCCACTATGCCTAATCACAAACGAATTAGTTGGTAGTGGGAGACCGAAATCTGCCTGTTTTAGCTAAAATCTTGATACTTTTTCTAATCTCCACGTACATCGATCAACACCTATCTCACTGGAGAAAAAGCGAATAAAAATGTTTGTTGTATTTCGCCGTGTACAGCCACTGGCGGTTGTTTTCTTGTGCAGTTCACAAAGGTAGCTTGCGGTTTCGGTCATTTTGACGGGAGCGAAAACAACTCCCTAGGATGTGTCGACCATATAACGTCTGGATCAGTTGTATATGAATTCTTAGTATGAGTACTCGAATCCTCAATCAAGTTAGAATACCTGCCAAGAATCTGGCCAACTCATGGGGTTGAGAATCTAGCCCGCTCACTACCCGTCTGTGTTTAGGGCGCGAATTTACTGACTAGAAGGTCCGTGGTTCAAACCCAACCTTTGCATCTCGACTTCCCCTGTCTGGGCTTGGGCCACATAGCAGTATCCCAGCCTTCGTGCTTCCATCGGGCAGCATGGCAGCCAGGCATCGAAAAGGTTACAGCTGAACGATTTTTTAATTTCTATTACTCTGCTTTGTGGGTCATCAAGACATCGTTGGAACGTCAGTTTAGGGTGCATGTGATGCAACTCACCTAGCCCTAAATGACTTATCATGTAATGCAAATACCTATCAACTTCAACTTCACTCTTTCAGTATAGACATGATATCCCCATTATCGAACTGTCAGTAGGGCCATTAAGTTAGGTGTTACTTGACATTTTGTAGATAACTACTTTTAGTTACGACAAGTGGCCTTACGCCTATCCACCTTCGCACTCATTATATTGTCCACCGTGTTGGGATACTTAACGCTCTCCGCTCTGCTGTTGCAATATTTGAAGCCCGAGCTGCTGGCACCTAAGGACTGTCAAAAACTGCACACGTAGCTTCCATCGAAGGAAATTTTTGAAACGGATTAAACACCAGGAACTATTTCTTCCGCAGTTATAGCACTTTTATCCGCCACAAAATCCGAACCCTCTAGCAAACAACGCTCTTGTTCCCCTTGTGGTCTGCTTGATAAATTTACCATGCAATAATAGCCAGCAGGCAATGCACGCTTTGCAATAAAATCACTGGAATAAGCTCGTGGGAAGTAACTTTTCGAACTTACGTATCTGTCTACCTTTGCATAGAGAGATCATTTTTATAAGGACCATCTTTCACTTAACTGTTCTCAATCAAACTAGATGGCAACTCCTCACATAAAGGCAACATTTAGACATCGACCTCCCAGCCATGCACTAGGCGTCATTCCGGCAAAATACAGCTAGGAAGCCACATTAACCCGTAACTAATGTTTTTTTCACTCTAAAAATGGCTGTTTTCTGCCCAATAATATCTCATTTTCTCGCAACTCCAATCCGGAGGAGGATTTCCTCTACTCGCTACTCAATAACAACGTATAAAGCCTGTTCGCTTGAATGAGATAATGGTTTACAGTGCAAATTTGGTTGTCGCTGGAGCACAATTAGCAGGTGACATCTTATGCCAGCGTGCCTGACACAAAATAGACTATCTGTAAACGTTGAAACCAGTTGTGATGCCCATCTCTATGGCAAACATCCGGGGACCGGTTTATGGCACCGTTGTCATACTTCCGGTCAGGGTCATTAAAAGCTTCACAAGTACCACTGTGGTGGCACCGGATCTGGTTGAGGACTATAAACATGATAGTGTAATATTCCGTATCATTACAAGACCACTGACCGTTTTGGAAAAACGTACACCACTGCAATAAATCAATAAACAGGACTTCCTCGCAAACTGCTTGAATAACATGACATTTTACAGGGGTAGGAATGTCCATGGTAGACCGAAATCCAAGACATCCAATCCGAAACATACTGGGTCCTTTGAAGACAACGGGACATTACTTCACTGTATCCGACCCTGTGCTGTCTTCGGGTATCGAAGTAAAATGCGTGAATCGATGACCGATGTCTCTACCGATGCTACAGTTGACAGTTTTGATTACCTTAGTTTGGCCTCGCGGTGAATCAGTCTCCTAAGATTCCAATAGTGTTGTGCAGACGGAGTTCAAAGCGTGGGCGTCTGTGACCCGCGATAGGAAAATTCAACCATTAAGATAAGTAGGCGATACATGCGCATGGTCTGAGGTAATCTCACACACTGTTCGAATGAAAGCAATTTGCGCCTTCGTAGTTTAGTTGCACGTGCTTTTGAATCTTGCTGGAAACGGCGCCTAGTCTATCTCATTGATGAGTATACCTTCACTTCATAGCCAGGTTACGTACTTACAACTTGTATGCCGTCGTACACTGGGTTTGTGTTATAAGTTTCAAGAAAGATGCTGTGTCAGTGTCGTTGACGGAATCTTAGTCTTAGGTTTGTTTAGTTCAGTATTGCTTGTTGGCCTAGACACCTTGTTCATGGTGGTGCCTTCCGAGGTTTTTTGCAGCCTTTCTGTTCCTCATGCTTGTGTGGTAGCTATGCGCCAGTTTTTACTACTAATTTGTTGTTGTTGGTATTGCTTGATGGAAGGTGGCGATTCAGGTTACCGTATCTTTCTTTCGAAACCATATTATGGACGTACACCGTTCACAATGACTTATCAGTTTACTCAATTTCATTCAGTTTGCGGTTGTTGGAATTAGTTGATTATGCTAGCCCCTTTCGGTTGCCTGTCAACCACGCAAACCGTATGCAAGGATTCGATTTATTGAATTTGTTCCGCTTGATCTGTTTGCTCTTTGTAGTTATCCCACAGCTACATATGCCTCTACGGATAAAGGTGCAAACGAGATTGCAGAAAACTTAAAAATCACCCTGCGGTCTGCCTACCGATCCGACGCCCTGGATTTAAGACGTTTGTGCATTCAGTCCGGGCGACAGTGCTGGATTGTTTATATAGACCTTCTTGTGAGTATTAGGTTTGCCTGTTGTTTAACGTGCACACTGTAGCTATTAGAAGGCGGAGGCAATTTTCTGGACGCTGCTTCACTTGCAATCAAAGCAGCCCTCATTGATGCAACGTAAGAATACCATTCTTGATGTTCCAGTAATTTTCCCAACCCACAGCCATCTCCTAGACCCTATGAATTCCAGACAACTGACGCCGAAAGATACGGAGGTCACAACTCCATTTTTCAGTGAGAAACTTCTACCAGTATTCGTGACTGTGCACAAGGTGAGTGTATGCAGCTTAACCTACAAAAATGAATACAGTCGTTCGTTGTTAAATCTCTGGGAAACGCAATGAGCGAGTGGGAGCACATATTACCAGAAATAATGAACGCTCACCTCAATAATTTGTATCTTTTATATGCTGGTTCAGCCATTTAGTTCAACAGCGAAGTGACGTATGGACTGGCCTCTATCCAAAAGCTTCCGAAATAAATATAAGCAGCTTCAGATTTAAAGTTCACCCCTAGGGTGCCGTACACGTTAATGGCTCGAAATGTCTTATTACTATCATCATGCATCTGGAAAATATATGATTCAAAGTGAATCTGAGTTAATATAAAAACTTTATCGGTTGGATTAGGAGAGCCAAGCCTGAAGACTTGTCTAGCTTCTTGCATCACATCATCTGTCCACAAAGGCCATATCTCTGACACATAGAGCAACACAGCTCCTACCATAGCCTGGCACAAGCAACTCTCAAGATCTAGTGATGTCTTTTTGACGCCACAAGTGATGCAAGTTAGCGAAGGTAATTTTGGCCTCAGATTCGTGCACTGATCTCATCAGACACAATTCTGTCACAACTAATTCAACTACCGAGGTGTGTAAGATTCTCCACAACCATTGATGATTCTCCCTGAATTTTACGATGTTCAGAGACTGTACGTTCTGAAGCGCTTCGAAGTTGCAAGGCGCGTTCCGGAAGATGGTATGACCGTGGTGAGTCTATTCAACAGGGCTTATGCTCCGCTTTGGTCTTCAAAATGAAGACAATGTTGTCTTCGTTCTCCAGATCGGTAGAGTTCTCCCCAGCGACAATTTGAACACCGGGGTTTTGAGGACCTTCCAGCGTTCGCTTCATTACTTTAGTAATGACGAAGTTGAATAAGAACAAAGAGAGTGGATACCCTTGTCGGATACCAGTTTTTGTAGGGAAGATTTTGGAGAGCCAAACATACACGTCCAGAAGTATGTGAAAATAGAAATCGGGTTATGTTCACAAACTTCTGTGGGATACCATGTAGAGCTGGTGTAGATCACACCACTGACCGGTCGACAGAATCCAACGCGCCGTGAATTCAAGGAACACCAAGACTGTGGGTCGTCTGTACATGTGGCGTTGCTCTAACACCCGACGGAGTGTTAAGAGGTGGCCAAGCCTAGACAGAGGAAACCGAGATGCCGAGGTCCGGTTCGAACCACGGACCTGTCATCAGTCTGATAAAGGGCAAACCTGACTACTTCACATGAGCGCTGCATTCTATCACGCCAGACAACCTGTACTCTGTTGGTAGTGTGGGAAGATTTTGGAATTTTGGTGGAGATTTCGCCACTAAGTGGAGCCAATCAATGTTGAAAAGCCTGGAAGGACTGTACAGCTGTTTCATCCCAATTGAGGATAACCAGCGGTGCGCATCTCACGAAACTTTAGATTTTCGAATAAGCGGCCTTCCGGGTAGTAGCTGGAACTCCTAATCAACTGAAAAAGGTTTGGAACCGATTGAGAAGTCATCGTTTCGGAAGAGCTTGATAAACAACCCATAGTTTTTATTTGGACAACGTTTCGCTTTTGACACAAAGGCTTCACCAGGCCAAGTGAGCAGGTCACGAAATTGGCCAGGTTATAAGGCAGACGGGGAACCAATCAGTAAGTCAATCCTCTTCGGATTTTCACACTAGAGCCCTGTTGAGTGTCAATTAATGGCTCTTATCGGTTAGTGAAGTTGTCAAAATCTTGCTTTGG